AGCTCGTTTTGTCGCTTGCGAACTCGGCGTACAGGGAGAGGGGCTTGGAGAGGGAGTATTTCGTTTTTTTTTTGTGGCTTGGAGTTTGTGTAGCTTACTTTTGCTGATGTGATAACACGTGTTTTTTTTTATAGATAATTTAAAAAAAAAATAGTTAAATATTCAGAAATTTTATCCAGTGTGTGAAGGTGTACAATATATTTTCTCACTAAATCACAATCTCAACCATTCATTGTTTTTAATATTATATCTATGGTGATTTTAAATGCACCATCCATGGACCACTTGTCCAACTTCTCTATCATAGATATCACCTTTAAAATGAATTGGGTTTAAAAGGAGCCCAGTGAACCACACGACAAAAGAAATTTGTCACTTACATGGATAACTAATTTTATTTTTTCTACATTTTTTTGTTATAATAAACTAGAGAGATCGAGACACTTCGTGCCTCTAATAATTATACACAGATAAATATTAAAAATTATACAAGATATAAATTTTTTTTTTTACATTCAAGAATATAAATGTCTACTAAAAAATGAAGATCAAACAAGTAATTACTAAAATATATCTCCTTTATAATAAGTATAGATTAAAATCAATATTTATTTACGATTGAATGAATAACTAGTTTTTAGAAGATTAAAAAGAGGAAGAAGTAGACAATGATTTGCATCATAACAAGAACGTTTATGTTAAACTATCAAAAATAAAATATCAAGACTTAAGCGTAATTATTTTTGAGGAAAAAATAATTTACGTTTGTTTGTATTTTCCAATATTTTATGCACAATTCTTCTTAATCTTCTCTAATGATGGAATGTTAAAAAAGAAAAGTGTTGCATATGATTCGAAATTTATAACTCTTTTATAATAGGCAAATGTTTCTTCATTAGTAGTCACGTCTTTAAAACCTAATAACTATTCATGAAGAATTACAACTATTTATTTCTTTTTTCTTTTTTGCCCATCAAAATAACTGATACTTTTAACATTTATACATTATATATAGACTACACCAAATAAGATATTATAAATTCCAATAAATTTATCCTTATAAAATCAATTTAATAGTGACAAAATCTTATAAATAACATATAATCTATTTTAATATAAAAAAGCAAATTAGTTCAAACACAATTTTAAGTTTATATAGATCATAATTTCTTTTTCTTTTTGTAATGAAAATACAATTAAAAATATACATATTTTTAGTAAATTGAAAGAGTTCATATTTAAAATAATAGATCATAAAATAATTTAGGTATAATGATTCCTTATTTCAATGTATATTTGAAATTATTTGGGTTGAACATAACGCGCAAGTAAAAATAAACTTCCTTCCTAATTTGGATAGTAATTGAAGTTATATATTATTGCACATTGGATGATGAAAATATAAAATGATCTATATTAATTTTATTTTATTCTTTTACAAATTTATAACTTGTGGATGATATGTTGTATTTACTGGTTGAATTTCACCTATGTCTTATACTTTATTTCAATTTAATAACTTATCTCCAAGAACATATTTATTAAGGTAAATTTTGTTTAGAGTTAAAACAATAAAAAAAAAATAGTTATAATTCACAATGATCATTTAAGGGAATCAATGAGTTATTAGTTAAACTATACAAACTAATATATATTAAATTTATTAATTATTATTAGAAGAATAATTCAAAATTTAAATTAGATATAGTCATGAAAATTCAAGAGAAATTATTTTAAGAATTTATAATCTTTAGTATATTATTTAGATTTATATATTTTATCATTTTATTTCCATTTTTTAGGCATTTATTTTTTTTCTTTTTAAAATTATGATGGTTATAACATTTAAATATTACATTAGAGCTTATATCTATTTATAGAGTCGAGAAATAAAATTTTAGGGTGTGTTTTGTTTAAGATTTTGAATGTGTGGATAATTTCATTATGTTAAAAAGATTTTTTTTTTCATAGGTGACATTAAAGTTTGAACACACAAATGTTTGAAATCCCATTATTTTATGTTAAAGCAAGCATTTATGTTTGAAGATAAAGTTGTATTAACTCAAAATGGAAATAGATAAAATATCACTTCAAAAGAAAATGAGAAAGAGGGAAAGGGAAGAAGAAGCAACTTCGAGCTTCCAAGGTGTATCCTACCACCACCTCAACTTGTTTTTTCTCTTTCACAAATCAACCACAAAGAAGAAAATAACTTTAGTAACGAAACTATCAAGCACTTTCTTAAATACTCTGGATTTGTGAAGAGAAAAGAAAGGTAAAAGAGAAGTATTACAAATATTATATATATATATTATTGTAGATAATATAATATTATATATTATTATATAAATTATATTATATGTATAGCCTTTTAATTTTTAAAATGATCATTACAAAATTCAATTATTTATATTTTGTTTCTTGTTATTATTTTAATCTTTATAATATATCTAGTTTTTTATTTTAGTTCATATAATAACTTATTTATTTTAAACTAGTTTTTTTAAAAATTAATTAATTTATAAAGACTAAAATAAAATTATTCACATAGTTAGAAAGATAAAGAAAATAAATATATGCCATGGCTAAAATCAAATATAAAAAAAACTAAAATAAGAGAGAGAGATTCTTACATTGTATTTATTAAAGAAACTATTTATGGGTTTTGACTTTTGAGTAAACAGAAGTGTGGAAAGGAAAAAGGGTATTTATAGATTTTAAGAAACAAAATCTTAAGTTAACTTTTATTTTTATTTTTATTATTTTACAACATTGAACGATGAAAGGCCCGAGTTTTATCCACCGAAATAATAAACGGGAAGGTTTAGATTGAGTTAAAATTTGAAAATATTTTGTAGCATATTGTGCATATAGTAATATTAATATATTTTGCAAAACTAAATTAAAATTGTACAGTAACTCATTCCCTCACTCTCACTCTCACTCTCACAACACAACAATGAGTCGCAAGAGAGACAGGTCCCACTTTTCCCGCCACGACGCCGCAAAGCGCCGCCGCCCCTTGCCGGAGCCCGCGGAGGAGGAGAGACCCACTATAAGGCCGCCGCCGCCGTCCGCGGTGGTCGTCATGGGCCTCCCCCAGGACTGCTCCGTCCTCGATCTCAAGTCCCGATTCGAGATCTACGGCGCCATCTCCCGCATCCGCATCGACCGCGACGCCGTTGGCTACATCACCTACCGGACCAGGGACTCCGCCGACGCCGCCATCGCCGCCGGCCTCGACCCCTCCTTTGAAATCACCGTTAATTCCAAAAAGGTGCGTCCTTTCTTTTCCCCCTTTCTCACTTAGGGTTTCGAAACTCCCAGTTTTGGTAACGATTGTTTAGAATTTTGACGTAAGTTTTGAAGAGAACTATGGTGGAGTGGAACTGGACGCAATTGACGGTGATAAGGCCTGAAATTGAACTTATTTGACGAATCCTCAATTCTCTACTTCATTTTATAGAATTTTGGTAAAAGTTTGAATCTTTAAGTTGAAGATAGTGTTACAATGAAGCTTGGAAGTTGAAACTGAAGAGCTCTGCTCAGTAACTCGTTTCTTGTAAAACTGGGTTAAAGGGGTAAATTAATGATTTACGTTGTAGTTGCATTTTTTGTCTGCAACTTTCGATATGGTGGAAAATGGTCGTAATTGCGGTTGCAAAGAAATCAAACCTTGAGGTTGTTGTGGCCTTGGTTTTCTTAGGGTTTGCTTTATTTTAAGTAAGGGTAAAATGAGTGGTTTAAATTATTTGAGTGTGAAGCTTTCTTAATTGAACTAACTTAATTTGCAGTCTCATGCATTTTCATTTTGATAGGTGGCAGAGGGTGGGGGGATATACTATATAATCTTCCATCAACTAGAGCTAAGACCTAAGTAGTGTTTACAAAGCTTGGACAATCCATACAAGCTGATTGTGAGGTTGAGTTAGACTGTATGTCTAAATTCTAATTATGAGAAAATTGATGATTAATATGCCCTATATTTGGTAATTGATCCTTACAAGTTGGTAATGAGTGTAAGGTTGAGTATTATCATACATTTATTATTTGTTGGTCTAATTATTCATTTGGCTTTTATATTTGCATAAACTTTACCTCTAAATCTCTACACTTCAAAATTGTACGTTTTAACCAGTACACAAACACTTTTAATTCCATTATGGTCCCTTTTGTTACATTTTTTTATCCATAGGAAAGATTACAAAGACGTGATGAGAATCGAATCCAGGTCCTCCCGCATCTGCCCCAATCCTTTCCCCCCTCCCCCCTCCAACCACTAGGCTGATCCTAGTGGTCTGTCCCTTCTGTTACCGATAATGACATGATAACGTTGTTCTATCTAGACTGTTAAAAACTGCTATAGAACTGAAACTTGCCCTGTTAAACCACCGAATTTTTTTTGGTCGTTTTTATTCACCACCAATTTTAAAATGAAGGATTTTTTTTCCCTCTCTTTAACTCTCTTTTCCCTTCTTCTTCTTTGACTCCCATAGCTCACACCTAAACACAATTATGAATTCTCTGTCCTTGTTTAACTATTCATGTATAGAACTTTACATGTGATTGTTGCTCCTGAGGAGAGTTGGGTGGTTCTTGTTGTGGAGACGGTGGTGCTTGTTGTTGCAGCAGAGGAGAGTCTAGTGGTTGCAATGGTTGTTGCAATGAAGGAAGCTTGGGCACTACTCGGTCCAATGAAGAGCTAAGTGGTGATTGTTGCTGGGGCGGTGGAGTAGAATCTTGTTTTTAAATTTTTTGGCAATTAAAAATAGCCAAAAAGTTTGGTTATTTTATACCGCTAGTTTTAGTTTTATAGCGGTTTTAAATAACCTAGATGAAATGGCATTGTCATGTCACTAACAACAAGGACCAAAACAGACAATTTTTAAAATAAGAATTAAGAACTATAAAATAAAGTTTATGCAACTATAGGACCTGTTGAAAATAGAATAAATCAATCAAAATCCAATTCTGATTGTGTACAACTCACCAGAAGTAATTGTAATTAGAATTTGTATTATTCCTAGTTTTCGTTATTATTTAGCCATAGCATTTATAGGGATAATTATTCCCCTGATTTTTAGGCTAGATTAATGTACATATTTGTTTTCTCTTTCCCATTCATTTCCCATATTGTATCAAGTATTATTCAGAGAAATATAATCCATATTTCCGCAAGACCAAATGAGGAAATAAACTTTATTTGTTTTTTATATATGCACATATTATCAACGGAGTGAAGGCTAGGGTGGATCACGCTGGAGCATAACTTTTAGCCGTTAGATTAATCTCATCTCTCATGTTATACCCTGATTCTATCCCACCGTATTATTCTTCTCCCAAGTCTCTTCATCTCTAATGAAAGTCTGCCGGATGATGTTCCCCTGTTCTTTATACTTGAAAATGAAGCATTGAATAGTTAAAAGAACGGTTCCAAGATGCAAACAATTAAGATCTGTGTCATGTTGGGTTTTCTACTTGAAAGCGAGCGGCACGAACTCCGTTGGTGGCTCCAGCAAGTCCAAACAGGAAGCGAGATTCACCACCTACTTCCACAGCACCGGTGGGAGAATGCGATATGGTGGTGGGTTGGATGTATGATAAAACCCTGGAATGAGATTAATCTAACAGTTAAAATTATGGATCACCTATTAAGGTGGTCCAAGGCCTTCATCTATCAACCCTTGACCTTTTAATTAATAATTGAAATGTCTTGTTTTGCCCTCTAAATGAGTTTACTATAAAACCACTGAAACTGTTTTTTAAAACCTTTGCGGTGAATGCATTGTTCTAGTAATTTAGAGATGTTTGAAAGAGATTGATGTGTAACAGGTTCAGGTGTTGTGGGCAACGGATCCTCTGGCCATGTGGAGGCAAGGAGTAGGTAATAGCAAGGATAAAGGGTCCATGTCAAAGCTCGTGCGTGCTGAGGTACCCTTGAGCAAGCATGGAAGAGGTAAAAGACTCGCGTCGACTATAGGTAACACCAAACGCAGTGAGGATAGCTCGGGTAGCTCAGTTTTAGACGTGCCTTTCAAGGGCAGAGAAATTGTTGCATATGATGATATCCTCTAACTATGAAAATCAGTGTGTAGAGAGGGTTATCTTATTCTGTATCAATAACTTTAATTTGGCATATTGATCTTTGTAGTTTTCCCCCCTTTTGTTGAGTATGTTCTCAATTAATGAGATACTAGGAAGTAACTTATGGATATGATTGTGATGTTTAATGCCTACATCGTAAATGTAATGTAAATAGTTGGTTTTACATTGTGTTGTCTCGTCAATTCTTTGGATTTGAAAGTAAAAGTTGTTCTCCTATGATTTGTTCACATCAGAAAACCTCATTATTTTGAATAAACAAACTCCTAGATTTGTTGTTGAGAGTGTGATTGTCAATATTTTAGTACAGATTTAAAACTGAGTTAGTCCCCAATTTTATTAGACGGCACTCATTTTACTATTTTAATATAAAGTGACAAATAAAAAAGAGATTAAAATTAATATTTTTTGAAGTTAGCAAATAATGGAGGATTTTTAAAATATCAAAAATTGAATTGCCTCATTTATTTAATTTTGATTTTTGAAGACTATTTTATTGATTTACTTTTTTTATATATTATTTTTCTTCAATACATTGTCTTTATTTTTGCTTGTGACATTGCGATTTTGCGGTCATTGGTTCTAGGGGTGGACAAAACGAACTGAACTGAACTTATAAAAACTATATTGAACTTAAAAGTAGTTTATATGAACTGAACTAAATTAAATATTAGTTCAGACGAACTGAACTGAACTATTCTTTTGTGTCATTGAACTGAACTGAACTATACTATAAAAACTTGAACTGAACTGCAATTTAAACTGCACTAAACTGTTATGATATTTTGAATTGAACAATTTTGACTCATTTATCTATCAAAATAGGACACATTTGTCAACTTTACTTTATTTTCCATTTTATTTAAATTTTTCAAAGGAAAAAAATATAAAATTAAGTCAAACAAACTCAGTGAATTTTAAGCCTAAAAATAAGTAGTTCAACATAGCTCAATTGATCCGTTAAGTTCAACAAAATTAATACAATTTTTTTTCAAATCACTTTTTTTCTAAAATTTTGGTTATTAAACTATCGAACTAATCTATTAAGACATAACATGTTAAACACATTTAATTTTTATTCTTTTATAAAAATAGTTCAATTTTTATAATTCAGTTCAGTTTTTATAGTTCAGTACAGTTCAACTTTACAACAGTTCAGTTCAGTTCAGTTTTTTTTAAACAGTTCAGTTCAGTTTTTTTTACAAACAGTTCAGTTTTTTATAATACAGTTCACCACCAGTTCAATTTAGTTTAGTTTTTTTTGCCCACCCCTAATTGGTTCATGACCAACTCAGACATTGATTTACAAGTTTGAGGGCTTGTGTTTTAAACAAGAATTAATTCTTTTTACTATATACCTGTTTTAATATAAAATTTATAGTTGAAATTAGTTAAATGTAAATTTTAATTATGTTTAATAATTTAAAACTAATTATATTATAACTTTAACACAAATGAACATGATCAATGGAAAGTGAATGTTTATGAATTAATTTATTGAAGTTTTCTCTTGTTTATAAACTCTGCCAAAGGTTCCAGTGGTGTTCAATGATTTGCCATCAAGTGTTTTGTTGTACAGTTTGATTGTTGCGTTCCATTGCAAAACTTCATTTCTATATATATTTTTTTTCCTATATTATAGTTTATGACTTGGAAGTATAAGATAATTTGTGGCTACATTTTAGGAAATGCTCAGTTGTGTATTATAATTGTTTTTTACACCATTATGTATTATAATTTTAAACTAACTCCTTTATTAAACTATCTAAGTGTACTTAGTTAAATTTTATTTTGATTATAATAGGGATTTAAACTTACGGATAATGCTAGTTGAATTTACTAAGGAAGAAAAAAGGTAAAATACTAATATATCAGTGATGTCAAAAAAGAAGGTAAGAATGAAGAACTAACAATTTTTATTTTCTTTTGCATTATCATACAATTATAAGTCACTATGATAAATTTATTGGTTTTTTATTATAATTATTCTAAAAGGGGCATCAAAACTGATTTTTAATTTTTCTTATTCATAAAACTCAAATTTATTTTTAAAAAATATTGTACAAACTATTTAATCAATTGGGTCAACTCTTTTGATTGATTTTTCTTCTTTTTTCTTTCACTTTATATTTTTACTAGATATATATGTCACTTTATTTCTTTTACATTATATATATTTTTAAAATTAAATTTATATTTTTTTAATGCAAGGCGCTATAGTCCATAGCGACACAAAGTCGCTATTGACCATAGTGACCTCTTTTTTATTTTATTTTATTTTTATAATTTTTTTATTTTTAACATTTAATTTAGCATATTTTAAAAAAAAATTATTTTTTCTACTTATTTTTTTTCCCGTTATTTATACTTTTTTTCTTCACTTAATTATTATTTTTTATATTATATATATTTTTAAAATTAAATTTATACATTTTATTAATGTATAATAGAGGTATTATGACTCATAGCGATATAAAGGCGATATAGGCCATAACGACCTCCTTTTTTTAAAACATTTAGTTTCTCTTTTTTATTTTCATTTTTTATTTTATACTTCTTTTTTTTCGTTTATTTCACATGTTTTTTAATATTATTATATACTAAAATTTTAAATAAATTTTTTATTCAAATTTAATTAATAGTTCTAAAATATGCATGAAGCCTGCGTGTGTGTCGTTATTGTTGGCTGTAGCGACTTTAAGTCAAGCACTATAGAGTGTAGTGACTTTTGTAGTATAGCATTCATGGCTTCTAAAAAAGAAAAATTAACACATAGCACTGGTATCGTGTCACTATGACTGTAGAAAATAACTCAAAGACATAAATAATTTCAAAACAACCCGTTTAAGTAATTTGTTTTGAAAAAAATCCTAGAACGGTCAATCAACATGATATGGACCCATATGGAAGAGAAAGATGAATCAGAGAAACGAGTGTGGAGTTGGGGTGCTGGAACGGAGGGTCAGTTAAGAACAAAGATTCTTCAAGACGAAAACTTCCCTCAACTCCTTCATCAACCCTCTCTCTCCTCCGTCTCTTCCCTAGCCTGTGGCGGCGCTCATGTCATAGCCTTGACCTCTGGTATCAACTATCAACACACCATCTTTTCTTCTTTTAAATGCACTTTATTTTGATCTTAATATCATGTTAAAAAAATCATGAATTGTAGCTGGGAAGGTGCTATCACGGGGGAGGGGCAATTCTGGCCAACTAGGCCACGGTGAGGTTGTGAGTAACGCTTTGTATCCAAAGGCTGTAACATCATTGGATGGTTACGTCATAACCCATGTCACCGCTGGCTGGAGCCACTCAGCTTTTGTTTCAGGTATGGATTATTCTTCTCTTTCTCTCCCCACTGTGTTTCTCAAGTGTATCTCTGCTGAAACTCGAAAGTGATTGTTTTTCTGTGAATTCGGTCTTGAATTTGGAAGTCAATGTCGTATATCTGTATAAAATGTTAAATAAGTTTTTATATTTAACTCTTTACTATTATTTTAGTTTATATATATCACTTTAGTCACAAGTTTATTTGAGTTTTGGACTGATATGAATATCAATTTGCATTTTTGGAAGACTGATATTACAACTTCTAGATTCTGAAACTACTAGCATATTTCAAATTTAAGGATCAAAATGGGTTTGTTACACTTTTTTTTTTCTGTATTTTGATTTTCAGATACTGGGTGTGTGTTCACTTGTGGGGATGGCTCGTTTGGTCAACTGGGGCATGGGGATTATGCCTCGCACTACTCTCCTGTCAAAGTGTCATGCTTTGTTGATCAGCATGTTGCGCAGGTGGCATGTGGCATGCACCATTCACTTGTCTTGTTAAAAGGTATTGGATTGGTTTTGGTGGTGGTTGTCTAGAATATGTATTTGTCTCTCACTTTGTAGTACTTTCATTTTGCTCCTTTATTTGGCAAAGGTCGTTGTTGTTATGCTGATTGTGCAGGAAATCAAGTTTATGGATTTGGCTCTGGGAAGCGTGGTCAACTGGGTGTCAACGATAGGATCAAATCTGTTAATGTTCCTAGAGTTGTCAGTGGCTTTGAAGGTGTTGAAATCGTTGAAATTGCTGCAAATGGAGATCAAAGTGCTACAGTATCTGGTAAATTCACCACTTTCACTTTGCATGGTATGTCATTTCCATTTTTGGGTCATCCGGTGACATTCATATACAAAAATTGTTGGCCTGAAAGTGGCACTACATTCTTCTCTAAATGGTTCTATTATCTTTAGTTGATGGGCATGTTTACACCTGGGGAAGAGGCTTCAAGGGCTTTGAAGATGCTCATGTTCCTCAGTGCTTGAACTCGACTTTGAATTTTACCAAAGTTGCTCTGGGATGGAACCATGCTTTAGCTATGAGTGGTATTTATTGACAATACATACCCAATAAACGTTATGGTTTCCTTGCTTTGTCACTCTCCTATTGAAGATGTGCATTTTGTTGTTATTTTTGCATAGGTGAGGAGGAGGTTTATATGCTAGGTGGGAACCACCCTGGAGTGCTTAGTGATCTTCAGAATATAAGACCGGCTAAGCATTTAACTGGTAATGCATTTGAGTTACTTTGAACCATAAAGACATCATAACTTATGTAGTTTCTTGCAGCATAGATCTCTCATCCTTTAGAATGTCACTTATTGCCATCGAGTTCCATATTTATAGATTTGAACTATTCATTCGCTGTCATCATCATCCATAACATGGCCGAATTTTTTATGGAAGTAGAATTTTTTGAAATTTTTTACCAAAAATGCACCTATTACACTTTATTTACACGTTTAGCACCATTCACTATTCATATTCAGAATTCGGTTTCCGGGAAATCGAATTCTGAACTTCAATTTTTTTTTTTTTTGTGAACTTCAGAACGGCCTGTTCCGCTTGCACACACGTAGAATGTTAATTTTGAAAATGGAACGGCCGCAGAACGGGCCATTCTAGAGTTATGCGTTAACGCATATCTTGAGAACGGCCGTTCTGCGGCCGTTGCATTTTCAAAATACACATTCTACGTGTGCAAGCAGAACGGGTCATTCTGATTCTAAAACAGGCCGTTCCAGTTTCAAGATTCGCGCTCTCTCACCCTCAAATCAAAAAAACAAAAAAAAATTAAAAACTCAAATGCATTTACCTGGTAAAACATTTGAGTTACTTTGAACCATAAAGACATCATAATTTACGTAATTTCTTGTTTTATAGATCTCTAATCCTTGAGAATGTCACTTATTGCCATCGACTTCCCTATTTCTAGATTTGAAATATCTAATCATAAACACAATCTGTGTATCTTTCATCCTATAATAAAATACGGGTGGTGGCACTCGCGGTGGCAGACGCGCCGGGGCGGTGGCACGGTGGCGGTGTTGGGTGGTGGGTCACGATGACGAAGAGAAGAGAAGATGGTGAAGGAGTGAAACTGAAAACCCTAACTCCTTTTCTTTTTCTCCCACCAAAAGTCTCTGACCTAACCCAGCAAGAACTATGCAGTAACCCTCCCTGTGTAGCGTGACATTCGCCTCAATGAATAACTGGGCTGTGGGCCAAGGCCCAGCGATAGTTTTTTGTTAAGTGGGCTCGTAGTAGTAATGACATTCTCCCGCATCCGCATCGACCGCGACGCCGTCGGCTACATCACCTACCGGACCAGGGACTCCACCGACGCCGCCATCGCCGCCGGCCTCAACCCCTCCTTCGAAATCACTGTTAACTCCAAAAGGGTGCGTCCTTTCTTTTCCCCCTTTCTCACTTAGGGTTTCGAAACTCCCAGTTTTTGTAACGATTGTTTAGAATTTTGACAGAAGTTTTGAAGAGAACTAGGGTAGAGTTTGGAACTGGACGCAATTGATGAAATTTCAGCTTAGTTGTTTAGAACTCGATAAATTTTTGAAGATTTGAATTTTAAGGCGACGGTGATAAGGCCTGAAATTGATTTCAAAAAAGGTCAAATATTAAAATATCAGTGATGTCAAAAAAGAAGGTAAGAATGAAGAACTAACAATTTTTATTTTCTTTTGCATTATCATACAAGTATAAGTCAATATGATAAATATTGGTTTTTTTTATTATAATTATTCTAAAAGTGGCATCAAAACTGGTTTTTAATTTTTCTTATTCATAAAACTCAAATTTATTTTTTTAAAAAAATTGTACAAAGTATTTAATCGATTGGGTCAACTCTTTTGATTGATTTTTCTTCTTTTTTCTTTCACTTTATATTTTTACTATATATATATATGTCACTTTATTTCTTTTAAATTCGCTAAAGTTAATCTAGTATAGATTATTGAATAGTTGTACGTTATCTTAGATTCAATCTTCGTCATTACTACTATAAAAACAAGTATATATTATATTTATTAAATTGAATATCTCAAGTAAATTATAATTAGTTCAACAAATTTGATGATTTTTTTTTATCATTTGTCTGAATATTAAACTGCAGTTAAATATTTAACTAGCATTTGTAGGATAGAATGGTTTAGTGACGTTTAAAGATAACAAATATCCACACTTTTGTATGTATCATTTTTATTAATTATTATTTTTCTTACATTTTGTTGGTATAATCTTCAAATATTGCACTTTTTCTGTTTCTGTATTTTTAAAATATTGTATATTTTGTCCTAGTAATTTCAAAATCTCGCATAATTACCTCCTTAATTACATGTCATGTGACTGGTGTTATTGGTGAAGAAGGATTCATATTAGTGCCATGTATACAACCATGTAAACATTAGGAGTCAATGTTTTCACTTCAACATTAAACTAATGGAATGGACACTTGAATAACGGAAAGACAATATTTATGAAAAGTTAAAAATATAAGAAAAATAAGTTGTAGAAAATACTTTAATAGGTGTTTGGATGGAGGATTTTGAAAGAAAATTTTGAGAGATTGTGCAAATTTAGGAGCTAAAAGTAGTGTTTTAAAAATCGGATCGGACTGGCCGGTCGGAGCAGTTGAACTGGGAATTGGTGGTCCAGCCGGTCCAAACCTTAAGTTGGATTGATTATGTATTTGACCCGTTTTAAATCGGATTGAACCGGTCAATTTTTCGGTCTGATCAATGAACCGGTGGGTCAAACCGGTTCAATCACAAATTTTTATTTTTATTTTTTAAAGGGACCACAACCCACAAAAATAACAATGAAAATTAAATCTTTTAATGGAAGAACAAAGAGTCTTATTAAACATAACAATAACTACTTGTTTTAATGTATTTATTTGTAATATATGCAACTTAAATAATTTTTATAGCATTATTAATTTTAAATTATATATTTAATAATATATTATCTATGTAGATATTACATATTTTATCTTGTGATATTAATTGCAAGTATATTATATATGTAGATATTATTTATATTTTTAATTTGTATTAATATACAGTTTAACATGTAACTTTTTTTTATGTATTTCTTTATACAAAATAAAAATAATGATAATTTTGAATAATATGAAAATTGAGATTTAAAATAAGATATAAATTTTTAAAAATTTTTAAGTATAAAATATATTTAACATGAATTTTTTTAAAAAAATAAAAATAAAAACCGGGTCATGTGGTTTAATTAGTGACCCACCGGTTCAACTTTTGACCTACTGACCCAGTACCTTAACCGGTTTGATGATCGGTCCGGTTTTTAAAACTATGGGTAAAAATACTATTAAACCATTAAGTAAGAGTTTTTAATTTTTTTCAATTAGAGTATTTTTAAGAATTAAATTAATAAGAGATTGTGTTGCTTTTTATCTTTATTTTGAAATTAAATTTTAATATTTTTTAAATTATCTATTATTTAATAATTAAAAATAAATTAATATCACAATATAAAACTATTTGTGAGAATTTTTAGTTAAATGATAACGTAATTTTGTAATTAAAAATAGTTCCCTTGATTAAAATAGTTCCTTATCATAAATCTAACATATAATTTATATTTTTAACACTATTATAAAATTTAATTATAATGTATTTTATATATTAAATATTATTTATTATAAATGTTTAATTATGTAAAATAAATATTTGTCTGAATACTAAAATAGTCATTTATTAAACTCATTTTAAAGAGTAATCGACCACAATTAACAACCACAACTTATCACATCACATTCTTCTATATATAACTTTAAATAAGTATCTTGAACGAAGTTATTTGTAGAAACTCTTATTTAATAAGAGTATTTTTAACTAATTTTCTTTTAATAAAAATGATTTTATATATTTTTTTAACTTCTCATTTCTCTCCATCTACTTTTATATATTTTTTGTTTTAAACAATTTATTTTTTAAGTTAAATATGTTTTTATATCTTGTAAAATGAGTGATTTTTTATTTTAGTCTTTATAATTTATTTTTTACTTCTTATTCTTCTAAAACTTGTAAACATCATTTTTAGTCCTTCCAAACTATTTTTGTTCTTATAAAATAAATAAATTTTAGTTTTGTTCCCTATAAAATATTTTTTTCTTTGATTTTCATTCATTTAAAATCATTATATTTATCACTAATGACAATTTCAACATATATAAATAAAATTTGTTGTAAAGACATATAATTTTTTTTTTTGATGTGTTATACACTAATTATAGGTAATACCTAACCGTGTCACTTAACCTTTTAATAAATAAGTAGTTAAAATTAATAAATACTAAAAATAATAATTCTAAATTTTAGAAGAATGAAAAATAAATAAATAAAAATAAGTCACATAATTTATATAGGCAATGAAAGGTAATACATCAACAATGACCAACTAAAATAACCCATGCACCATCAATAATTTATATAGGTAATGAAAGGAAGATAACACAAAACAGTGACATATATAGGCAATGAAAGGGAAATGAACGGAAGCCTCGCCGGAAATAGCAACTCGCATTCGCCGGAAACTAAGAAACGTCCTTCATCGGATTCCAATCAGTCAAAAAGATGGAGAATGACCCATCAATGACGAGCCGCCCTTCACCAGAAGTCGCCGGAACTCAAAATGCAACCAAAACTCGTTCTCACCTTCGCCGGAAATCGCCCAAATTCATTTCAGATTAACCTAGGTCTCACGCGCGAGGAAGACGAAGGCGCGCCCAGGAATATAAAAAGGTTTTTACGTCAAACCCTTCAAAATTGTCACCGCGTCTTTTTTACGTTGCTTATTTGTATGTATGACGACAAAGAAATTATGTAAAAGACTAATTTTCCACTAATTACATAACTATTCAAATTATTTATATAATTCGTTCATTTTAATTTAACACAATCTTAAATGATAGTTATGCATATATAATTATTCACGTATAAGTATCTAATAAAGTTAACAAATTAATACTTAAAATAATTTTATTGATTTTTTATGTTTAAATTTTATTAATTTAATTTATCGTAGACCAGAAAAATAAATTAAAAGGGATGATTTGGTATTGTTTGGTTGATCGAATTCATCAAAACTGATCAACACCATATTTCTCATTTTTATTTTGCCCATATTTATTTGATTGATTATTTTTATTTACCTCATTTTCCAGTGGAAAATTTGTGTTGACACAACATCTGCCATTGAAAGTGCGAAATCGAACTGGAAAGATACATGAATGGTGCGGCGGTGGGGTGGATGGGGCCGCTATTCCATGCACATCAAAAAAGTTTCCCACCCATTACATTTTTTTTAATTAAAACTTGGATATTTTAATTTTAATATTTTAAAAAAATGATTTTTATTTTAACAAAATTTATTTATTTTATTCTTTTTAATATCAAAATGACAAAAAATTAAAATAA